CATCGTTAGTAAAGAATCTAATTAAAATGTGGTGGCCAGTCTTGTGAAAACAGAAAAATTATAAATCTCTGCTAGCAGTGTTCAGTTTTACATTTTGATGTATAAGTATGCTATCGTATGATCTGTCGTAAGCGTTTCGCAAATGCGAAATAGGTGCACTACTGGCAAGAAGTCGGTACTTGTACTGACTGCTACAGTAGTAAAATTGATTGACTGAGGCATCAAGTGTATTGAAAATGACTCTGCCAATAGAGGTCTTAATTGTGAGAGTTGGTGTATCGTCTTTTGTCACAGTCACTAAATCATACCTAACGTTCCACTGCCTTGGAACTACTGGCGTTTCAGATTGAAATTAGCTCCATGACAATTAGCTCCAAACAGGAAAGAGAGACTGAGGATGGTTTAATTTTAACTCCCTAAGGACTGTATTCCTTTGCCACATTTTGCGAACAGTATGAAAAGCCGCCAATACTCCTTGGCTGCTTTCACAAGTGATCTCAGACTTAAATCACTCTAATTTGATCAGTCTCAAATGTACAATGATAAGTTGTGCAAAAGTGCTCGAAAGCTGGGTCTGTGTATTTCTTCCCACGGAGAGGCGTGCTCGGCTTTTCCCAGCGCTCGTTCCTATTTTTCTAAATGTCAGCTAATCAAAACTGTTTGTACCAACCACATTGCCGCGTTAACGAAAAACTGAAAGTTATCACCGTGCAATCACTGCACGACTTTTGTACGACATAGTCAATTTCATAGCGATCATTTTGAGCAGGGATCGGGGAACTTCTTGTCTATTACCCAAAAATATATTTAAATACGCAGACGTTACCCGCTCGACTTGAAAGGGAGAAAATCATAGTTTATTTAAATTCAAAAAGTTAATTCAATTTATTTATACGGAGAATACAATTAAAAATATAAAAGGTATAAATAAATGAGATGAAATAAATTAATATCCTCATCATGAAAGAAAAGGATTTCTTTGAAAACTTTTTCACTTCAGGTTTTGGAGAAATGATGTTGTTTCATTTTTGATGCAATAGCATCAAAATTGGGGCATTTTGATGTCAGAGCAATTTAGATACTGTCTTCGGGGTCTAATCGATTTCCCTGCTTTGTTTTTATGTTCATTAGAGTGGAAAATCCTTGTTCACAAAGGTAGGTTTGTAATCGTTTGGCAGCAACTTTTTGACTGCTACGTCATTGCAATTTTGAAAGCCATTGCAT